TATAAGGTCAACTGAAGGTAAAATCCACACACTTCCAAATTTATCTCAAGCTTTTTGGTAGAAATTAAAAATTACAGACTCTCAGACTACCTAATAATTGCTTCATTATTGAACATTATTCCACAACAAATTACTTGCACTAATTTAGGATTCTTAAATTCGTGATCATTTTCGTTTGAAGCAATAAACGCTAGCTTTTACACAGTGCATATAAGCACACTCTATTAATTTTTAATACTTACTAAACTTTCATGTAACCATTGAAAATGAGAATACTATCTAGCAGCTTGTCTTTAAGATGCAAAACTGTTTAGCAAGCTGAAAAAACAGGAAGATTTGCTGCAATAGATTTATTACAGGAATTCTCTGTAATAAAATGAGCATGGAAATACCATTGATAAGTAAAGAAGCAGTATGTGTGGTGGTTAAAAGCACACATTCTGCCTGTTCAAACTCCAGTTTTGCCATACAGTAGCTGTGTGAATTTGGACAACTAACTTAACCTCTCTGTTCCTCTGGTTCCTCACTTCTGAAATGAGGATAACAATAGTACATATTTCATATAGTTCTCATTAGGAATACATTAAGCAATTAGAACAGAGACTAGCGAACAGCAAACACTCACTATATGTTAGCTATTATTGAATTCGTATTAATTACCTGGATTAATATTAGGATTAATATCAATATGAAAGTGAAAGTCATTCAGTCGTGTCCGACTCTTTGTGACCCCATGGACTATACAGTCCATGGAATTTTCCAGGCCAGAATACTAGAGTGGGTAGCCTTTCCCTTCTCCAGGGGATCTTCCCAACCTAGGAATCATACCCAGGTCCCCCACATTGCAAGCAGATTCTTTACCAGTTGAGCTACAAGTGAAGCCCAAGAATGCTGGAGTGGGTAGCCTATCCCTTCTCCAGGGAATCTTCCCGACCCAGGAATCCAACCAGGGTCTCCTGCATTGCAGGTGGATTCTTTACCAACTGGGCTATGAGGGAAGCCCAATATCAATATAAACATTAGTTATATTTCCAAGAATAAAGACAATACACATCATAATGGGGAATCAAGGCAAAGATAAGTAGGGCACAGCATGTAAACTACTTATCTTTGTCTGGCAAAAAAAAATTATACTACAAAAACTTTTAACCAAATTTCTGAAAAATTCTATATTGCTTAGAAACAGTACACAGTTGAGCCATAACATTCATGCTTTTGACAAACTGTCCACATCATTGTTTTCTATAACACAACCCTATAAGGCATGACATTATGTGACAAAGGACTCTTCCAATATGGTACACACACAGGGTCAGAATATAAGTAACCATAACATGAAGCAATATCTAGACATACATGAGACTAACAAATGTCCTACTTCCATTCAAATCACAGCCAAAAAAGCTACAATCACTTTACCCTAAATTTAATGAGGACACTTACAACCTGAATCATATTTACTAAGTCTTCTGTGTTGCTTTCTCCTCTTCCTTTGCCCCAGTCTATTTAAAATGCTTTTCATGCAAATGAATTGCCACACTTTCCTCTTTGGCCATATGACTCAGCTGTAGAACAATGTATCTCACTCAGCTCTTTCATCGAAGTACAGAGATCTGCTTCTTTTCTCTGCTCAGCTACACAGCTTCCATCACTGGTGCATCACTGAATTCCCTGTCCAGATTGTCACCCAGGGCCAATTCAAGACCCTTTGTCTGCTCACTCATCACTTCCTGAGGTTTGGCTCAATTTAGGTAAAACGTAAATTTCTGGGCTATAACCACGATTGGGTAATTCACATATGGGTCATCAAGCGTTGGCTGCATTTGAGAACACAATTTTACACTTAAATTTAAACTTCACTAAACAAAGGTAAAGAGAAAGTGAAGTCATTCGGTCGTGTCCTACTCTTCGATCCCATGGACTGTAGCCCACCAGGCTCCTCTGTCCGTGGGATTTTCCAGGCAAGAATACTAGAGTGGGTTGTCATTTCCTTCTCCAGGAGATCTTCCTGACCCAGGGATTGAACCCAGGTCTCCCGAATGGTAGGCAGACGCTTTACCATCTAAGCCACCAAGGAAGTCCTTACAAAGGTATCTACTCATCAGTTTCTCTAACTAGATAGTTAAAATTGACAGAATACAAAAATACTGTAGTATGGTTCCGTCTTTGAGGACAATATCAAGACTTTTTGTGCTTGTTTTCTAAATTAGATGATTACTAATAACACTGACATTTCAAAAATAATATAACATTTCCCACTTCTTTACATATTAATTTACTTAATCCAAAACAGTTGTTTGAGCCAAACATTATCCTCATTTTATACATAAGGAAATTGTAAAAACACCTACAAATTAGATATTGTATCTAATTTTGTCAGGCTCTTGAGGAAGTTCTTATTTTTCTAGAGAAAAACTCATTAGGGAGAAACGTGGTTAACTTAAAATTCCTAACTTTTCAATCTCTTCAATACTGCTAATGCAGGTCCTTTACAACCTGGAAGCTCTCCCACTCTACTAAAGTATTCTCTCTGTGGTTAAGATATTCCTATAGCACTTCTTATTTGAAATATGCTAAGCCTGGAATTGAGGGTGAAGATCAGCATCAGCCCTATTCAACTGCCTAATCAATTCACACATGAAGCATCAAGTTCAATAATAACCGGGAATGTGGCCGCTCATGGCTTTTGCTAAACTTTCACCTGGCCCTGCAAAAAATATTTCTGAACTTCAGAATTTATTACCTAATTATCAACAAGGGATGGTACAACCGATTAATTAACTTGCTCAAAACCAAATTTTAAATTGTGTTTACGTGCCATCTAAATGTCAAAGTAGATAACAGTTCTACACACGGCTGACAAATGGTGAAACCGTGCTGTGTACAACTATAAGTGTATTTAAGACTGACTTAAGAAAAACATTCAACTGAAGACAATGCTGTTTCTTCCAAGGTTTAGCTGTAGAAATAAATATGCTGAGCCCTTTAATGTGAATCAAAGTAGCATTTAGAAAATGAAATTTTTATTCAATCAGTTCTCCCATAAGCACAAAAGCAAGAATATCTAACATTTCTTTTGTAGTAAAATTACTTTATAGAATCTGTGCAGAAATAAACATCTATATGTATAATGGTGATTGTGAGGAAGATGGGATGGGGGGGGTACCTAGAATTTTACAAATAAAAATAAAATCCAAAAAAAACAAAACAAAGGTTGTTACAACACATACCTATATGAATACAATGAAAAGTGTTGAGCACTGACTCATATACATAGATAATACACACACATATATATGCTATACTATATGTGTGTGTGTGTGTGTGTATAAAGCTTAGAACTGATCAAATGAATTTTTCTCTTAGCTAGGCATTAAACTGTTAAAGAATATCAAATTTTTCTTTCCTTCTTCTACTGATATTTTTGAGTCTTCTTTAATTTCTGAAGCAGTTCTCTAACATGTGCAATATTCTAAATATAAAACTTGCAGATAACATTTTTAAACGGATAAGAGCAATCATTATAATAATGCAAAAACATATAGATCCCAATAATAGTAGAAATACAGCTGAATATCTAAGATCACATCTGAAAGGGGTTTTCTAAACTAAATCCCAATTATCAACACGTTAACAACAACAATAAAGACAACTGAATGTGTTCATTCAGTCCCAGTTAATTTCATCTAACCTAAATGTTACTCAATCATTACGCAAATATTTATCAATCACCTACCATCTGTACTAGGTAATAGGGCAACACTGAAGAGGAAAAAGTATCAGCCATTTATTTTATATACCCTAATATTAACCAACATATAAACTCCCAGAATCTTACAGTATTAATATCTCTCGATAAAGATTTCTCAAAATATGCATTATTTGGAATCAACAACTCACAATTCAATAATATGCCAAAGAGAACTGCCAATAACGAAGAGGGTTATGTGGCACAGAAATAAGCCAGCAAAAATAAAATAGACATAATCTATTTCAGTAATCTTAAATCACACTGCCAAAATATGGAATTTAATGTTCTTACATAATTCTTAAAGTATTTTTCTTTCCATCTATTCCCAATTGCCTTATTTAAAAAAAAAATTTGATTTTTATATCACTTGGCATTTTATGTGCTTTGATAGAGTACATTTTGCTTTATTAAACCACAATGTGTTTAGGCAGCACTAATGTATTAAAATATGCATCTTTAAAGTGAAGAGATTTCTTGCCAACAGTTTTAATTCCCCATGATAATCAGATGGTCTAAAAATACTTTAACTGGTAAACTGGTATAACATATAAATTTCTTATTATGACCTTTCACTTTGCTCTCCCCACCCCAAATGCATCAGTAACTTTACTGTAGTTATAATTAGGAGGCATACAAATACATAAATATTATATGTTCTATATTAAATATAAATATAAACTTCACCAAGAACAGTTCTACTTAGTTATACTCACTGAGATTAATAGGGAAGCAAAACTATAAAAACCTTCCTGTGAAAGGAAGGGAGAGGAGAGTGAGAATTGGGAATGACTGCTAATATGTATAGGGTTTTTTTCTGAGGTGATGAAAATATTCTTAAATTAGACCATGGTGAAAGTTGCACAACTTGAATATACTAAAAACAACTGAACTGTATGCTTTAAATGGGTGAATTTTATGGTATGTGAAATATATCTCAATAAAGTTGGAGGGAAAAAAATCTTCCACATAAAAAAATTCATCAAGTTCCACTCTCTAAAAGCATCCATGGGTATAAAACTATCGCTTCCCTTATTGTCCAGTTATTATATCATCTAGCATTTTATTAACTAAGGGATGTATCAACTTTAAAGGTAACAACTGAAATTATAATACCCTGCCTTTGGATAGTTGCATTTTACATTAAACAACTCAGTTTTGCCTAAGTCGGTAGGAGCTTTAAACAATTACTACTTCATATAACTTTAATACAAACTAATTGCTTCAAAAAATTCTATACAGGTTCTTATACCTGGTAATCCAAAATGCTGAATCCCAAGCCTTTATGATCTTTCATTAGTTCAACAATCTTGACTTCAGAAGACCACAGTGCTAATTCCCCATCATCATCTTCTTCAGTATTGACATCTACATTGTGTTCAGCCTGAAATAACAAGGAACATAAATGCTTCAAAACACTTTCCTTTCAATACGGAAAAGAATGAACACATCAGCAATCTCATTGCTTCTCCTCAAACGGAGGATACTTTTTGGCATGCATAGTTTTTCTTTTTAATCTTTTTAAAAGGGGCATGCACTGGGGCACATAGACTTAATGTGAAAAGTCTATGAAATTAAAGCATGAAAATTAAAGCACTGAAAAAAACCAGATTGTTTATATAGTTTCTTTTTTTAAGTTAAAGTATCTGTTTCATTCAAAGTATTAACACTGACCTCTTATACTAAAATGAGTTCTGTCATCCCATTAGAAGCATAAAAGGAAAAATATGCAATTTAAGGAAATATGAAAACATCACACAAAGTCAAAGCTTATAAGACATTTCAGTAGCAACACCTGAATTTATCATTACAATGAGAGAGAGAAAGATACCAATACAGACAGAGGCTAGGACAGGACACAGGGATACCACTTCTTTTGGCTCCTAGAAGTTTTCGAGAAAAATTTAACTAGAAAAGTAAGTTGAAAAAAATCCAAGTCTTTGGGACTCCTGTAAGTCTAAAAACAGGTGACAGTCAGAGTTGAAACAATGAAACCCTGATCCTGGAGGAAGTAGGCCTGCACAGCTGTCCAGCACACAGATCCTTGGTTCCTTTCCCTGACTGCACACTCCTGCAGGCTACTCCAAGCTCCCTCCTTTCAGGGAGAGTCACTGCCACGTAGAATTCTAGGAAGCTAAATGATACAGTATCAAAGAGTTGACTAAGTAGAATAGTCTCCAACCTTCTGCTTTTATTTTTTTTTTTATGTTTATAACAGCAAAATGGACTTTATTTATTTATTTATTGGCAAGGTAATGTCTCAGCTTTTTATTTTTTTATTTTTATTTTTTTCCATTTATTTTTATTAGTTGGAGGCTAATTACTTTACAACATTGCAGTGGTTTTTGTCATACATTGAAATGAATTAGCCATGGATTTACATGTATTCCCCATCCCAGTCCCCCCTCCCACCTCCCTCTCCACCCGATCCCTCTGGGTCTTCCCAGTGCACCAGGCCCGAGCACTGGTCTCCTGCACCCAACCTGGGCTGGTGATCTGTTTCACCCTAGATAATATACATATTTTGATGCTGTTCTCTTGAAACATCCCACCCTCGCCTTCTCCCACAGAGTCCACAAGTCTGTTCTATACATCTGAGTCTCTTTTTCTGTTTTGCATATAGTGTTATCATTACCATCTTTCTAAATTCCATATATGTGTGTTAGTATACTGTAATGGTCTTTATCTTTCTGGCTTACTTCGCTCTGTATAATGGGCTCCAGTTTCATCCATCTCATTAGAACTGATTCAAATGAATTCTTTTTAATGGCTGAGTAATATTCCATGGTGTATATGTACCACAGCTTCCTCATCCATTCGTCTGCTGATGGGCATCTAGGTTGCTTCCATGTCCTGGCTATTATAAACAGTGCTGCGATGAACATTGGGGTGCATGTGTCTCTTTCAGATCTGGTTTCCTCGGTGTGTATGCCCAGAAGTGGGATTGCTGGGTCATATGGCAGTTCTATTTCCAGCTTTTTAAGAAATCTCCACACTGTTTTCCATAGTGGCTGTACTAATTTGCATTCCCACCAACAGTGTATGAGGGTTCCCTTTTCTCCACACCCTCTCCAGCATTTATTGCTTGTAGACTTTTGGATAGCAGCCATCCTGACTGGTGTGTAATGGTACCTCACTGTGGTTTTGATTTGCATTTCTCTGATAATGAGTGATGTTGAGCATCTTTTCATGTGTTTTTTTGCCATCTGTATGTCTTCCTTGGAGAAATGTCTGTTTAGTTCTTTGGCCCATTTTTTGATTGGGTCATTTATTTTTCTGGAGTTGAGCTGGAGGAGTTGCTTGTATATTTTTGAGATTAATCCTTTGTCTGCTTTTATACTATTTATAGCATTGTATTATTTTCATGCCTCCCAGGTAGCACTTTGGTAAAGAATCTGCCTGCCAATGCAGGAGATGCAGGTTCAATCCCTGGATCAGGCAGATCCCCTGGAGAAGGAAATGGCAACCCACTCCAGCATTCTTGCCTGGAGAATCCCACGGACAGAGGAGCCTGGCTGGAGCTACAGTCCATGGGGTCGCAAAGAGTCGGACACAGCTGAGCAACTGAGCACACACACACACACACACATTATTTTCAGGTGATTTATCTTCTCCAAATAGTCTAAACTTCTTATTAAGGCTCAAGAATTATCTTCTTTTTCTTTGTGGCCTTGGCAATTAACAAAATGCCTGGCTTCTAGGCTACACTGATAGTTTACTATGGTCATCCCCTCAACCCAAAATATTGCATGGCTTATAGTAGACACTCAATAAATGCTTCTTCAATTCATAATGAATTGATAATCTATCTTTGAGTGGCCTTCCCTTGACACTCTTTCTAAACAAAGCTATAAGTCTTTTAGAAGTCTACTTCCAAAAACTTTGAATGATCTTAGTAAATAAAATGGAAGTATATCATTCCTACAAATATAATTTTGAGTGACTGGTTTAAGAAAATCCATACAACAGAATCAAAGCTGGTGGTTATGGCACTCCTCTATTATGGAGGAGGAAGGCACCACAGCTAATACAAAACGTTTTAACATCAGGGCTGGACCAGATCTCAAACTGTCCTTGAAGGACATGGTAGACTGAATATAAACAAGGGAACAGTTTCTTGGTTCTTGAATTATAGAACTTGAAATAAGGGGGAACATTTTGGATCAATAAACTTCTGTTTATATCAGTCTGATGTGAGGAAATGATACATTTAAAAAGAAAACTATACTTTCCAATAAAAAGTAAAGTCACAATGGTTAATACAATATGACTGATGTTTTACTGGGGCATTTAATACCTTCACTGATTAATGAGCACTAGAATTTTGGCTGAGATGCCTAACCAGAGAGGGTTTAAGAACCGAAGATTGCATTGAGATAAATGAGAAAGAGACAGATGGAAAAGAAAGTCAGGATTTTAAGAAACCACATGTAATTTTAAAACCCAAGTTTATATAAATTTCAAGGCACCAAAAGTAGATAAGATATTACATGGCAACCTGATATATATATCACTTTGATACAATCAATTCTGCATAACTACTGTATTTACAGAATAGAAAGCAATCAACTAATGGCCAGCAAGGTTGACATTCAGCATAATTCAAAGCTGTTGTTTACCCATTGTGGTAAAGCATGACGGATGGGAGCACAGAGTCAGCAAGCTGAGTTGGTGATTTACACACACCGTAAGATTAGATTAAGGGCATTTTTATCAACCTTTTGAGGTAAGCTATTGCCTACATTTAAATTTAGTAAAGATTGCAAAAATCACAAAGTGTAGTACTTGAGTCCCTTTCTTGAAATACGAATACCAAGATAAACATTAAAAAAAAATTACCATCAACAATCAGTGATTTACTAAACATTTCTTATATGCCCAGTAAAGAATAAAAACACCAAGAGATACAAAATAATTTTAAGATTTGGTCTCTGCCCACAGGAGCCATACAAACAAACTTAATATACACTAAAGTATCCGTAACTATAGGACAGTACTAACTAGTATTTTAGGAAATCACAAAACAAAGACAGGTGGGTGGGAGGAGTTGAGAACAGCCATCACTAATTTTCAATGAGCACTGTCCTTATGCAAAACATTGTACTAAGAACTTTGCGCACATTACTTCAATTCCTTCTCTCACCATTGATGAGGTACATACAATAATTACCCTTGTTTTCAGAGGAAGAAGGTCAATAGAAAGTCAAGCTATTTGCTTAAGGATTCAAAATCATTAAGAGGTACAGAAGCATTAGAGTCTACGTATCTTGAAAAGCAGATGGTAGGTGGGTAAAAGGGCCAGCCCTGTGCATCTAAACTGGTGTTAATGAATCATAACCTAAAAGAGTCCGAAAAGGGGAAAGGTAACATAAAAAGATAAAGCTACAAATGACATAAGATGGCAAAGCCTGTGCTTAAAACTGTTTTCATAATTACAATGCTCTTTAAAAAAAGACTTCCAGAGGCACAAAAAGTGTTATTTTATTCTCTGACCTTAAAAAGGCTTTTACGGCAATTTTTAAACTCACTTCAAAATTGGTCATAGATCTTCATGTTTTTAAAGCTCTGAAAAAGGGAAGTCCATTAGATATTCAACACTTACCAACATCTTAAACTTATTAAGATAAACTGAGTAGAACTGGGAGCTAAAAGTAACAAGTTCAGGCAATTACTAAAAAGGGGTTTTCTAAAATCAAAGACCATGCACATTAATGTCACCAACCTTTCAAGTAAAAAAAAAATGACATTAAAGGAAAGTAACTATCTGAAAAGCTATACATTGTTGTCTTTGAGAGATAATGTTGTCAAGTAAAAGAGGTAGGAGGTTTTTCCCTCCTCCGGCATATCTCAATACATTCTCGGGGCATCTTTGATGACAGGATCTGCCTATGAGAACCACAGTACGTGTATCCATTCGGTACCTTCACTTCAGGAGGGGAGACTTCAGTGGTCCTTGGTTCATCTACAGAGGCTTCATCATCAAACAACCGTCGACAACAAACCAAGGTAAAGGGGGGTGGCACTTCTTTAAGAAAGGAGACTGCTTCTCGGCGAGATTTCCCATAGAGCTGCACGCCATTGACCTAGAAAGGCAAGGGATAAGTCAGAATTGAGGAGGTCCCAAATGAAAAAAAAAAAAGACTCTTGCTTACATCAATACATCAAAATGAAAATAGGATATCACTTTCTTTTCCCTATAAACAAAAGGGCCTAAATGTAATCATTTTAGTAGTAACAATAAAAAAACCAAAACAGAAATCCCTAAAAATTGATTAAAATGAAGGTTAAGGTTTAACTGAGTTTGGTGAATAAAGTATAAAATGTGCTCAGAGTTCAACTATTACTGGGAATGTGATTTGCCTAATTTTTCACACCTCCCTGCTTTCTCCTTCCTAGATCCCAAAGTATTCTCTCATTTACTCCCCGTCTCTCCTTAAACACACTAAACACCAGTTACAGCCTTTTTAAGACTGCTTCCTTTTGCTTTTTCATTTCGTAAGCATATCGATAGAGATATTAACACTGATTTTTAAGGCTGTTACAAACTGTTCAACTTACAATGTGTAGGTAACAAAATCTAGGATACTCAGCTGTCAAGATTTAGCATCAGCTCACAATTTTCTTTCACATTCCATAAACTCTTAATATCATCCTGGAAAATCACCTCTATAGAAAAGAAATACACATAACTTTGCCTCAGATTTATTCTTACACACTCTGCTCTTACAGAACCATCAAGTATAAGAAGTGTGTCAGATTTTCAAATTATTATACACAGGGTGCCACATGTTTAAAAGAACAAAACGATAATCAACTGTTCATTATTAATAATGCTTATCACCAAAAGACTATTTAAATTTCATATATTTAGGCCATAGTAACAATTCTATGAACTAAAGATTTAGAAACATTAGCTTATTCTAATTAGTTTATTAGAATAAATAAACTAATAAAAATAAGTTTATTCTAATTTTTCATACATATGACTTTAGCTCCAGGAGCTCTCTCATCTGTCTGCCACTCCCAAAAAGCTAAGGCATGAACACAATCCAGGCAACAAATAATCTTTTCACATATGACTCCTACCTTCCTGGGAGGGTTCAGCAGCATTATTAGTTTTAAAGGTATTTCTGGTCTGGTCTTAATTTCTGACAGGCACAGTGCTAATGTCCAGATAACTGACAGGGCTGACTTTCCTGGGAGCACCTTTCCACAAAATCTATCATTGCTCAGAGAATACGAGCACAGTGGTTTGTTAGAAGCATCCCATCAACAGTGGTTTGAGCTCATTCATCCATCCCTTGGAGCTACTCTCGCCTATAACATACCCAGCACTTAGCATCAGACCAGACATAATCTCCCTGCCTCTTAATTATTTACAAAGAAATCACCACATAGTAAAGAGGCCCACATGTGCTTCAGGGAACTAGTCCTAAGAAGTCTCCCAGGACTTCATGACGGAGGAAGGGGTCCAGAGGAGAACAAGTTATCCGATAAAAGGTTTTTCCTGGAAAAACTGCAAGTCAATTGTCACACAAAAACAGGGAGGGAGATACATGTCACTGTTCACACCATATCCATGGTGCCAACCAGTACCACAAGCATAGAAAGTTCTAAAATGAACCAAATAGGGAGTAATTCATACTGAAAATAAAGCAAGTGGATACAACCAAAGCAGGAATTCTACCCATGCACAAGTATTTTAGTTTGTGCTTCATACTACTTCAACAAATCAGAAAATCACTTTTCAGGTTTTTATCTTGGAGTACACTTAAATATTTATTTAGCTCATTATTTATTAATTTGAATTGTCTCCAATTATTATAGCAATGCCTGGTAGTCTTCTTCACCACTCTCTATCACTAAAGGGATTGGTCACATTTCCCATTAGCAACTCCTATCTAAGGGGATTTACGGCCACTGTAAATAGCTGCTCTGGGCTGAGACTTGGCACAATGTTCTAACCCTGAGCATATTTGTGTTCCTGATTTTAAGCTCTAAGCAGCACATTAAACACACACACACAGTTTAGGAGTTTATTTGTCTAACTGTAAGGGACTTTTTAATTTCTATATTTGGCTGCTCAGAAGAAGCCAATTTTTATTTTAGAGTTTACAATATTTGTCTAGACTCTTGCAACCCTCTTAAGTACCCTCAAGTCTCAGTTATTCAGAATCTGGGGCTAGAAAACACACACACATGTATTCATCTGCAGAGTATATAACACTGTACTAGTATTGTCCCACTACTTCATTCAATCCTATCCTATAAAGGTTGCTTATAACTTTACATGGTGGTGATGTTGCCAGTATCTCACAGTGAAATAATGTATAAAGCATTATCTTTACATGGACGACATTTCGCTAAATCCTCACAGAGAGTGAAGTAGGCATTTATTGATGAAGAAAATGATTCTCAAAAAAAAAAAAGCGGGGGGAGTGTCTGAGTGAATAGGTGGGTGTGGAAGTTTATCAGCTGTCTTGAGCGAAGGTTTATAAGAAAAATGTGCATTTTTATCATAAAAGAAAACACGCCCGTCATCATTAACAGCTGACCATCACTAACCCTCACTATGTACCCTATACCAAGCAAAGTTCTTTACCTTCATGGTTTCACAGTAAAACGCATTGTGAACGTTACACGATTCGAAATGAGGTACATAGTTTTAAGTCTCTTTGGCCTACGAAGAAAGCAAGGACGAGCAGCCGGTAAGTGGCAGTCTGACAGAGGTCACTCGGCTTCAAAGTCTGATATTCTTAACCCTCCTGCCAACGCAGGAGATGTAAGAGACGCGGGTTCAATCCCTGGGTTGAGAAGTTCACCTGGAGAAGGGCATGGCAACTTACTCCAGTATCCTCGCCTGAAGAGTGCCATGGACAGAGAAGCCTCGAGGGCTACTAGTCTGTAGGGTCACAGAGTTGGACAAAACTGAAGCGACTTAGCACGCACACATCGCACAGTAACTCACGGTTTCATGCACAACCAATTAGCTTTTTGTTATTTTCCTACGAGTTTTATGTCCTGTTGTTAAACAGGGATGTGTGTGAGAGAGAGAGAGGAGGTTTTTTCACTTCATTCAATATTTCTGGAGAGGCTGCTATGGCCCGTGCTCTGATCTATTTGAACTGTGGTGTTGGAGAAGACTCGAGAGTCCTTTGGATTGCAAGGAGCTGAATACAGTCAATCCTAAAGGAAATCAACCCTGAATATTCACTGGAGCTGAAGCTCAGATACTCTGGTTACCTGATGCAAAGAACTGACTCAGAAAAGACCCTGATGCTGGGAAAGATTGAAGGCAGGACGAGAAGGGGACAGCAGAGGATGAGATGGTTGGATGGCATCGCCTATTGGGTGGACATACCTTTGAGCAAGCTCGGGGAATTGGTAGTGGACAGGGGAGCTGGTGATGGACAGGGAAGCCTAGGGTGCTGCAGTCCATGGTGTAGCAAAGAGTCAGACACGACTGAGCGACTGAACTGAACTGAATAATATTACTATTATTAATAATTTTGTTTGGAAATGTTTATTCTGGGGTGCTTACATCGTAAATGTAAGATATTCAGTATACAAATGAGAGATATTCAGTAGACAAACTGAATATATTCCTGCCTAATGCTCAGTGTAGAGGTCAGGGCTGGAGGTGTGACTTAAATACACTTAACTGAAAGTGTGAAGTTATTTAAAGCCATGGAACTGAATAAGATGATTTAGGAAGAGAGATGATTAAAGGAGAAGGAAGAAGAGAAGAGAACCCAAGTTGAGCAATAGAATGCTCCAACACTTAGCAGCAGCCAGAAGGGTGACAAGAAAGAGAGTCAGTGACACAGAAACAGACTAGTCCTGGCCCAGAAGCAGAGCCGGTTACCAACTATAGTGAAAACCGAGGAGAGAGAAGTAGGAGCTGGGTCTGACAAGGTTATGGTCACTGGTGACTTTGAGAAGTACTGTCCAGCGTGGAGGAAAGGAAGGAAAGGAAGTGAGTGAAATATGTATGGTGAAGAGATGAAGTCGATATTGTACTTTTGTATTGTTGATGTTACAGCATCCATGTTTTTCTATGTTGTCACAGGGTTGTAAAAAATACTTTTTAATGTCTCCTTAGCATGTGAGACTTTTTTAAAAAGTTTTGATAGGAGTATAGCTGATTTACAATGTTGCATTAGTTTCAGGTGAGTAACAAAGTGAATCAGTTATACATATACTCACTCTTTTTAAAATTCTTTCCCTCTATAGTTAATTACAGAGTATTGAGTAGAGTTCCTTGTGCTAATGAGTTTTACTTTTTAATAATAAAATATAGAAGCACCCAAAAAAAAAAATGGAGGGGGGTACATGCTAGGACATATGGTTCAGCTGTGGCAAATTCAGAACCAAAAGCAGCTCTTTTGACTTTCAAATCTGTGCCTCTTCCCCTATTCCAAGTTCCTTCACCAGAAATCTATACTTAAGAATTCAACCAGTCTTCATGCTACCTTGTTACAACACAGTCTATTACAAGGCAGAAGGCCCTTGGAATTCCAATCTCAGCTAAGGCACAGGGGACTCAGTTGATGGCTGGGATCACCCACACTTTCTTTAGTCAGATCTAGCCAACCTTTATTACCTACCATGTACTAGTAATGAATTATACTTATTGCAACTGAGTTGTAAGCTAAAAATGCCTTAAATGACACTTAATGTTATGTATATTTAACACAAAAAAAGTAAACTAAACCGGTTTTTACTTATATTTCCATATCTCCCAAATAAATATATCCCATTTCTCAATAACTCATAACTACATATTATGGAAATATTTTCCAAATGGCCTCCAATCTGCAGATTATCATGTGTGATACCATAAAATTAGGCCATATACTGTGCAAATAAGAAGAGAAAGACATGATTCAGCACCAACTTCCCATAAATGATAAAAGTCTAGGGCATTAATTCACATTAAGCATCCCAATATCATTTCTTGAAGACATAAAAAAATAAGCCATTTATTACACCTTAAAACAGGATCCCAACACCTGGCCTCCTATGCTTATGAACGAATTTGCCAATAGCCATAGTACTTTTTTCTCTGACCTTAAAATTCAACTCGAAATTCTCAACATACTCCTCCAGGTGACTGAACACTACTTAAAAAAATATCCAACAAGAAACCTATTTGCTATCCTTGCCACTTCACTTTAAACAAATATAATTTTAGAAAGAAATCTCTACTTCCAGGCCCATGAGATTCTAATCTTGGCCAAGACAATGAGGTTGATTCTATTACACCCAACCTAGAATTTCTTGTGGATCTAACACTTGGAAGAATACTTTTCTACACAGCCTTCTCTAAGTTTGACTATTGCCCACATTTTTTTTAGATGCTCTGAAAGTAGTGTGATGTATTGAAAAACCAATGAAATGGGAGTTACAAAAGATGAACTAAAGTCATAATTCTATCAGTGGGTAAAGTTGGGGGAAATCAATGCCTTGTTTTCTTATCTATAAAATTAAGGGCTGTTACTTGGATATGTCTGCTGTGTTGGTGATAGAACTTTCCAGTCTAATAAAATCTCTCAAGGACTTATGTCAAAGCATAAGTGCTCTAGAATTGCTCCAACTGAAGAGAAGCTCAGAAGCCCCAGTAAGCCCACCAGAGCCTGCCATCTTGGGCGGAGGGAGTCCCAAAGAGACCGTTTGAAAGCCAGTCAGTAACATATTAGCTTGAGGTTATCCAGCTCTAATTCTTACTAGAAATAATCATCAAAACATGCAAATAAATACAAGTACATGTTTCAAACAAGGGTCAGGGATTACAGTCTTAAAGAAAGAATTTTGAAAAAAAAATTATGCTGACAAACTAAAGTGGGACACTAGGTTCTTTCTTAATCATGTAAATAAGCATTCAAAAAAAGAACATCTCAGGAGTCCCAAAGGATAGAGATAATGAACTGAAAGTATATCATCTGCTTCTCTTATTACTACTTAAGTTGTTAGTATTTTTCTTCATCTTTATTTTTTCCAGCTTTATTTAGATATACTTGACATATAACATGTACAAGTTTAACATATACAATAAATGACTTAATATATTGTGAAATCATTACCACAATGAGGCCAATTAATACATCTATCACCTCACATAGTTTCTGTACTGTGTGTGTGTGTGTGTGTGTGTGTGTGTGGTAAGAATACTTAAGATCTACTATTTCAGCCACTTTCAAGTATACAATACAGTTGTTGTTCAGTCACCCAGTCATGTCTGACTCTTTGCAATCCCATGGATAGTCAGCAAGTATTTTGCAGTTTCTAGTAGCTTACATTATATTGGCATTAATAATATAATTCAGTGGATTTCTGGTGAGAACATACTTTCTCACAACTTAAAAATTCTTGCCCTGTATCTTTTTCCCCCTCAAAAATTTTACCTCAAGAAGTTCATCCTCTGGCTGTAGGAGGTTCAGTGTATCAAGAGGACCACCTGGAGCAATCGAAGAGATATAATGGTGCCCATCAAAGGAATCCACTTCCATGCCAAGCCTCAGAGTGTGAATGGGCAGCAGCTGCACCAAAACATAGAGCAGTAATATAAACATGACATGGACACATCTGGCTGGTAATCTTCCATCAAATGTCACTTTGACATGATAGCCCCGCCCCTTGAATCAGATCACGAAAATCCCCAAAGAGACAATAACTGGAAAACTAGCCTCAAGTAAAATATGAAGTCATTTGTCATCTTGTTCTCACTCTTTCCCTTTCAGATTCCCTGGGAATAGAGACAGACATATGAAGTCTCCAATTCTAAGCTCTGGCACTCCAAACTTCCAGTTGGTCCCAGAATGTATTCTGTGTCTCACTTTTCTGCAGGGCTTCTCATCCCTCCTTTTAATATATAACTTAAGGTCCATTCACACTTCAATACCAAAAGCAGTGTCAGCTTCCATGAAGCCCTTCCTGTTATCTGAGTTAATTCACCTCCATCTGGAGGTGATATAAGGGTAGATATAAGACCACCCTGTATACATCTCCATCACAGTTCACAACACACTGTGTTTAAAATTCCTATTTTCTTAACTGCCCCCTGAGGGTATCTTTTCTCTCTGTAACCTTAGACCCTGGAATAGTACCAGGCATCTGAAGATGGGCTCATAACATGTTATTTGAACTAATTCATGAAAGATGGTACCTCTTTCGAGTTGTCTTTTTCCATCTCACAAGTAAGAATACTTTCTGATGTGGGGGAGGCATGGGTGTGAATAAAGAAGGCAATTGTTATTCTACCCTCGGAAGGTAAGAAAATGAGTGTCTTAATGTTGTTGGCTATAAAGGTCAAGGGCATTCACCAAACTCCATGCCCTTCACTTTCAAAACTGGAGCTAATGATTTCTCAGTGTGGCTATATAAACTCAAATATGGTTCAGTTCAGTCGCTCAGTAGTGTCCAACTCTTTGCGACCGCATGAATCACAGCACGCCAGGCCTCCTTGTCCATCACCAACTCCCGAAGTTCACTCAAACTCATGTCCATCAAGTCGGTGATGCCATCCAGCCATCTCATCCTCTGTTGTCCCCTTCTCCTCCTGCCCCCAACCACCCCCCAGCAAATATGGTAAATGGTACTAATTACAATTTATACTTCCTATATCAACAGTCCATTTATCTAAAATACTAGGCCCATCTCTTATGGTGTAGTTGCTGAGGAGGAAACCCTACACAAGGTGGCAATGCACTCATGACATGGCTCTTTCCCTCATATTTCCTTTTCTCTGTGATTATTTATCCTGAAGCTTGTCACCTCCCCTTAGTCATCTGCTCTGTGTCCCCAGAGTTCCACATGCCTTGCTTCAGACACCACCTGGGGCTCATTTCCATGCCACTACAGGCACACAGACAAATGTGAAGTGGCAATGAAGCCAGCTGACTATGGCAGCAATGGCTTAAATCAGGCATGAGGAACTCCTGGCCTTGGGCTGATTTTCTGAAAATTAAATGCTCTTGACCAGGCACCTCAGGATCTAGTCATCTCGGGCAATGAGCTGTTCTAACAGTGTGAAAGTAAGATTGTTTTTATTTTTGTTTCTTCTCTGTGATTTCTTCATTTCTCACTGCTGCTCTCTCATTCTGTTTCATCACTGCACCCAATCTTTTACTATCAAGCTAGGAGATAATAGGGTCCTTTCCTTTAGCACTGAAAGGTGAATAAAAGCTCTGAGAAATGTTCTATAATAGCAGTTTACCCATCCATCTCTGCCAACTCTCTTCCTCCCTTCCTTATGAGCCAAACACTAGAGCAGAGAGTGGCCAGTGGGTCCCCAAAGGTTTGCTGAAGTCTGCTTGCAAGAGCAGATTCTTCCATTTTCAGGAATTCTGCAAGCCGGTTGTTGATGACAGCCATTATTAAACATGAAATTATACAAATAATTAAATAAAGTAGTATTAAAAATAAATTAGTAAGTAAATTTATTTAACAATTTAAAAATTAAAAATAAATTTATAAATAATAAATGAATTTATTTTTTATTTCACAATTAAACAAATAAATAAATATTAAAAAATAAATGTAGTGGAGCTTCCTTGGTGGTCCAATGATTAAGAATCCATCTTGTAATGCAGGGGACACCTGTTCAATCCCTGCTCTGGTAAGATCCCACAGTCTCTATCCTATGGTACTAACATCTAGTGTAGAAGACAGATAATATAAACAAGCAAGACAGCAAGCAGACTCAAGCAAAACAAAATAAGTCAATAAACAATGCACCAAGAAACAAGTGAAATATAAACCCCAAATTACTGTGGTAAGTGCTACAAAGGAGCTAATCAATGTCAGGACATCAGACATAACCATGATGGCTATTTTGAAAAGTTGGTCAGAGTAGGTTTCACACAGATGGGGACATGTAAGGTGAGACTCAAAGGATAAGAATGAGTCACCTCTACAAAGAACCTGCTGGTAGACTGCTTGTGGGAGGTAAGTGAAAAAGGTAATTGCTAAATTTTTGGTTTGAGCAACAGGGTAGACAGTGGTGGTAATTCCTACATAGAAATAAGTGCCCAAATTAAAATGGACATTGCTGCACAGAGAGATCTTTGCTGCTTGTATAATAGCATGCCCCCATAAAAAATAGAAGGATCAAGGAGGGAACTGATCCTAGGCTCCCCTCCAAGCCCCTTACTAAACCTGCTCTATTTCCCTTCTCCATGAACAGTTGATGTCAGGAACAGGCTGGAGCACCGCAGAGCAGCAGCAGCTTACTCAAGGAATCCCCTGCCCACCAGATGCAGAGCTGTGCCCCTCTAGGCTACTTCCCTAGATATCTGTAAATACCACACGCTCCCTAGAAGCTTGCGTGAAACACATATGCTCCACCTTCAATCATACTGAACAGATAAACTAGAAATGATGTTTACAAAATCTGTCAATCTAAAAGATGCCTACCTAATATTAGTTCTAAATCTAAATCTGAGTACAGCTGTGTTTCTGAGACTTCATGTTACGTGGCTCCAGGTGTCTCTGTGGGAGCAGGACTATTTAATTACTTGTCCCAGCTGCATTTAGCAACTAAACAAATCAACCATTTCATCTGTCTCTTTCAGTAGTCCACCCTTTCGGAATTCTGAGAGCAGAAAGTGCTAAAATAACAGGAGTAGGTGTCAACAGATGATTGATGCCTTCACACACAAAGCACGTTATGCTTTTTGCTGCTAACTCAATGTGCTTTGCAAGGGGTCCTACTTAACTTGACAAAGTTAATTGAGCAGCAGGATGTTCATGATCCTGATATGACAAGTAAAGGATACAAGGAATCGGATCCAAGGAAAGTGTGACCATTGGGTGATTTACTGTTGATGCTAAAATGATGAAGATCAAATGAGATCAAGAAAGCAAGAGGCCTTCAACCCAAGAGTGGAGAGAACAGTCAGGAAACAAGCTGCAGTTCATTCATTTTATCTTGTCCCTCAAACAAGATATCAAAGTACTCAAGTGGGAATATGAATGTTGCTCCAGGGTTAAAAAAAAAAAAACCTTCTGAAAAGGAATAGCTATGTCAATGGTATGGGGAGGAGGCTTCCAAGAAAGTTGAACTTAAAATAAAACAGAAAGGATCCTATGATTAGTTCTTATATACACGCAAACCTCTCTCTCTCTTTTTCTTTCACTGGAGATATTATACAATCATTTATGTTTAAAGATTAGGTAGAAAGAGTTGGTAAATTTACCCCAAATAAAAACAAACTTTCCAAGAATGCAGCTACAACTTTTAAACTAATGATGAAACGCAGGATAATGGCCTCCAAAGTGAGGTATATTCACATAGAGGTTGTGCAAGACAGTCAACCTAGAAGAGCTTGATTTATATTAGTTTCTCTCATCTGTCTAAAATTTTAATTCTGGGGAATTCCCTGGCAGTCCAGTGGTTAAGACTCCATGCTTTCACTGCCAAGGACCCATATTTAATCCCTGGTCAAGGAACTAAGATGCCACAAGTCACACGACATGGACTAAAAAAAATTAAAATTTTAACTCTGAATGTTCAAAAAATAAATATTACATACTCTGCTGTAGAGAAATATGTTGAAGATCTCTTCAGCTCCCTTACACCGAGGTCAAGCATCAGCTGCCGTTTTTCATCTCAGATAGCATTTGTTACCTGTCTGGCCCAAGAGACATTTGAACATTTGACACCTAACCTAACACTTTGCCCTCACGGCTCTTTCTCTCTACATTTACTAATGGTATTTCATCCACCTTGAATATCCACTGTTGTCATTTCTCCAAACTCATTCTTGAGAGTATTTTTCATCCTCACATAAGCCTCCTTCATCTGTCTTGAGGAAGTAACCCCTCCCTCCTTGAATACAGCTGACCAATTCAGGGTTAGAGGCACTGACTCTCTACACAATTGAAAATCTGGGTATAATTTATAGTCAGCCCTCCATATCTGAGGTTCCTCCATATCTGAGGATGGTGTAATACTGTAGTGTTGTTGTTTACTCAGTCATGTCCTACTCTTTATGACCCAATGGGCTGTAGCCTGCCAGACTCCTCTGTCCATGTGATTCTTCAGGCAAGAATATTGGAGTGGGTTACCAAGTTCTGCTCCAAAAGATCTTCCCAACCCAGAGCTCAAACCTGTGTCTCTTATATCTCTTACATTGGCAAGCGGGTTCTTCACTACTAGCACCACCCAGGAAGACCATAGTACTATAGTATGTACTGTTAAAAAATTCTGCGTATATGTGCAACCATGCAGTTCACACCCATGTTGTTCAAGGGTTAACTGTACACATAAGGCATCCTAGCAAAACCTGAATAATAATTCTCAATGAAGTGAGGCAAGGAAGGAATCACAGTTCCCCTTAGAGACTTCACCCCAAACCTACAAAATAAGAATGTTAGTCAGGAGGAACAAAATCGGGCATGCCTATTTTGAAAAAGCTCCTCTGATGTTTCTGATAGGCCACCTGCCCTACTAGATAACCACTGTCACTATAGTTATTTGATTCTGTATCTTGTGTTATTCACTCAAAAAGAGGCCAGAAAATTATATACTTAAGAATAT